CACACCACTTTGTGCTTTGAATAAAACATCGCCGCAAAAACCTCATAGTGGCATAGAAAATCACATGGAAATATCATAATAATGCCGAGATTTAAATAAGAGTAGAGATGACAGCAATTTTAGATATTTCGTAACATTTTCCGTCAAGCTAATATCATTGCAACCTATTGCAAACACTCTAGAGATGGAGTAGTGTTGAATAAATTTGTTGGGTTGAAGTCGCCCATATTTTTTAAAAATTATGTAGTATGGCAGAATGACATACCGGAGGGGGAGGCTCATTCAACATAACAAGCAGGGCTTGTAGAACAAGATTGGAGAACCGAGGGCCGACAGGTGAATAGTCTAAAAAGGCTAACTATTATATTCCTGAAAAATTTGCAACCAGTCATTGAGAGAAACTCACCTAGCAATCTTTCAATATTATCTATCAGAAGGACACTCAACTTCGAGCGGAATGCATCAGTAAAAGCTTTTCGGAGCAATTGACACTTAGCGGATTCCGAAAAACCTACCATATCACCGGGAGATATTACCTAAATAAAAGTTGGTTGACAATCCACACCAGCGTTTCTCAAAGAAGACCATCAGCTATTTGCTTTAAGAAAATAATAACAATATAAACTTGCACTACTGTTAACAAAGTTTGGTAGAATAATGCCAAAGCAACATTATACAAGTTTTTCAACAAACACAGTTTGATCACTGAGCATAAAACAATATTTTATTGATGAGTTTTCGCCGCAAATCTTACTGTCTCACCTTGATTAGAGGGAAATCTGAGGATCGAGCAATTTCCGCAGCCAGGAAGCTCTTTCCTGTCCTTGGCGCTCCTAAAACAAAGCTTTACAAACAAGTCCAGGCTGCAAGTATGCGGAGAAGAATACAATAAAAAGCTCACCAGCTAATACCGCTGTTACAAATCCTCCAGCATCAGGATTGACAGTTTCTTCAACCAAACGAGCACCTTCTTCAAGAATGCGCGTCACCTCTTTACCCCAAACGACCATACCCCGCCTCAAGAATTTCTCAAGCGATTCATCACTTCGACCAAACGCCTAAAAATCACTTTCCCAGCAAGTTCTATTTAGAAAATGAGCTTTTGTATGCAAATAACCGGTTTAATATCGTTTTCCAGGGCGTACTCAAAATCGGCCGCATTGACAACCAATTTCTCCACAGCATCAGGATCCAATTGTACCTGAACGAACAGTATTCATTATTATTATTATTCTGACTGCTACAAGAAACGTGGTTTTAGCTATCTATCTATTCTAAAATTTAGCAAGTAATTGCGATTGTCTCATAAACATCACGATGAACAAAAAATTCACGAGAGTATAGGACGTACAATATACATCACGATAAAACTTCTTTTCAAACACTCCACGTGGTATTTAACGCCGGGAATTCGAACTGCAACTCTTATTTAAGTCTTGCAAGAAAGTTACACTTTCCTTTCATCACATTTTTTCTTTCTTGGGCAATCGCTATCTGCTCAATTTTATCAACATACAGCGAAAAATGACCGTGACTACCAATTTGTTAGGATTATTGCAAACTTCCATTTTGAGATGCATTACAAGGTCACGTTCAACGGTATCCTCGTTCGGCCTAACTACTATACTATCAAACAAGCATATCGCGAAAAAAATTTTGGCCTAGCGAGTATTAAATTACAGTACTCGCGCTATTTCGATAGAAAAGGATAAAAAGACGCAAAATTGCGCGTTTCTCGCGTTTTCTTCGTAACACGTCAATTTTAGCTGAAGTTCACGTTTCGAACCAGTCGATTCACACTTGTAGGCTCTAAAATTACACTATTTTTCCAATCGAGCGAGGCTGTAGAAAGTTACAACAATACTTATGATTACAAATTAGCAAGCGAAGCGTTACCTATCCCCATTGGCA